CTTTCGTATGATTGGCTGTTTAAATCAATTTAATTTTACATTATTTATACAGTTTAAAGTACTTTTTTAAAAAAAAAAACCTACGGAGAATAAACAAAAAAGAAGTATATAGAAAGTTTTATTAGGGTTGTGAGAAGTTAGAATGATGATAACCTAATTCTACCTATCTTTAAGAAGTCTCTATTATGCCAACTTCTCAAAACAGAAATGATTTTGATTATTTTTAATGGTTGAGTCCTTCGACCCTAATAAACCTTTTTGTATGCTTCTTTTTGGTTTATTCTTAGTAGTTTGTTTTTTTTAAAAAGTACTTTAAACTGTATAAATAATGTAAAATTAAATTGATTTAAACAGTCAATCATACGAAAGTCTTCCTATGAGCTCAGAGTTGGTAAGAATTTTTCCAATCGATTAGTTGCCAAATCAAACTAAAGAAATCAACACAAATAGTGATTGGAATTATTTTAATGCCGGCAAATTAAACGGTTAAACGATTAAGAAAAATTTTAGGCGGTTCCAACCCTAAACTCGAATATAAGGAATTGAACTAGCTGATGATTTAATCGATTAGTTGTTTCAAATTTTTTCTAAATCGATTAGTTGGAAAGTTGAATTTTTCAACGATTTGGATCACTAGCTTGAAACCAAATACAGAAATAAAAAATTAGTTTATTGATCATTACAGTATTAATCGACATTACATCCGAAATTTCAATCAAAAAATTCAGATAATTAATTGCGCATTTGATATGCTCAAAAGAACTAAACCAATTATTACTTCAATCAACGTCACGAACTTTGCTAAAAGCAAGAATTTTAAAAATGAGACAAATTAATTAGTCTGAAAATTTCTATATATATAACGTCTGTTCGAATAGTTGATAACTCAGCTCTGGAAGCTTGAAAATAAACTTAGTTTTGAAAAAAATTATTTACGTTTTTATATTACGTTTTTATATCACGCTCCTTTCTTTATTCACTTGTACAAAGATTTTTTTCTGTTCTGGATAACAGGAATTTGGTTTTACCATTGATTTTAACGCATATTGATTACCCTACCATCCTACCTTACAAAAGCGATGAAATCTTTTCTTTGGCTTCTCATTATATATTTTATCGTCTGTAATATGCTGGTTCATGCGTTACCTGCTCATGAAGGTTAATATCAATTCTTTTCCATTTACTTTATATTAAATTTTTCTCGTAATTATTCCAGTTTCTCATATTTGATGCTTGATTGAAATTTCATCGATAGATCAATCTTTCCCCCTCGTGAAACGTTGTAATTTTTTCAGACGGCTTACTAGGGGTTGTGGTGAGCAAGGACTTGGTGAAGATTGTGCGACTCAAGAATGTAAAGATGGTCTGAAATGTAGGGAGGATCCGGTCTTTCACGGGTTTACTTGTAAAGACAGTTAATCGGCACTTTTTTCATAAAAAATCAAAAAAGTTCATCAGATGAAAACTTTTTTTTATCAATAGATAAATTATTTTTATACATTTAGCCATACAAATTTATAAAATTGGTTTTCATATCCCGGCCGGGTCAATAAAGTAGAAATCTAACTTGTTTTTAATATACCAGCCAATAGAAATCCTCTATAGATAAACATATAACTAAAGCATCTCTCCCGATTAATAAATGAAATAATTTTGTCAATTTTAATTTCACCGATCTTTTTACTCACTGGCCAACCTTATTGCGACTTTGCTGATAGTTTCGCCAATTAATTTTTACTTACCAGCTAAATAATGAGAAATGAAATGATTTATGTAGTGGTAGTGGGTGTTTATAATCTTGACTCGTGAACTTGTTTTGTCGACTTTAATTCTACTGATTAAACCAATTTTTAAATTAATGAGAATGTAATGATTTGGAGTAATGTTAAATAAGCATTTATGAACTTGAATAGTGAACTTTCTGCCGATTTTAATTCCACTGAATTGTAAATAATTTTTAGACTCACCGGCTAAATTAGTGACTACAAAAACACCAGCGTCGAGAGGGCAGTCACATGATTTCCCATCCACTTAGTTCTGTAGTTTTTATGCTGTTATCATTATTCCTGGGACACCTTATGAAAATTAACTGAATGGTTATTCTGCCTATTCGATAAATTATTTTATATATATATTTTTTTAAGAGAGGTCTTTCCTCTAGTCCTTTATTTCGTCAATATATAATTAGGTACATTAGTACAAATTGATACGTTAAACTAAGAGAATAGAAGTTAGGACTAATTTACTCTCAACCTATTCTTAGCTAGAATGGTTGAAAGACTTCTAATCTATGAGTTTAGTGAGGAAAGATATATTGTTAAATTGTATTAAACTAATAAACTGTATTGTGCATTGTCTATCTATAAGAACTAGTCAAGTTTGTAGCTTTTATAGTTTGTTAAGTCTTTGATCATTATGAGTAATGATATTGAGATGATTATTACCGCGCTTTTCAAATTACTGTGATCACCTGATGATCGACCGTCACACGAAAATCCGCGAAATTCCTTAAATTTCCTTGAAATTTTTTAAATAAATCCAATTATTTTTTTTATAAATAAAAATTTCAAAATTCCTTTTTTATTTTCACTTTTCCAACATTATGTCTATCAATATACAAGAAATTATTGCTAATTAGGTCAAATAACATTGGGAATTCTATGCTCTTTCTTTTTATAATCACAAATATCATCTTTTTTAAACCACAAATAGGTATTGTCGCATTTTTTGATAAATTGTGACAAGAAAATAATGAAAAGCAATGAAACATATTGTTCTAAAGCTTAAAAGTATTTTCATGATCTTAATATAAATATAAAGAATAGATGTTGAGAAAAAAAGGAATAAATAACAAAATGACAATATATTGTGATAAATAAACTTAATACAAATATTGAAAAAAAGCAAAAGTTATTTTTTTATACATCTAATAAAAGTTTTAGATTTTGATATTTTTCTTATAAGAAATATAAGAAAATCAAACTTTAAGTGTTTGTTTTATTGAATTGTTTTTATTTATTATATTTTTATTTATTTCTTATAAATTATTTAATATTATCAACTAATAAATGTTATTAGATCAATAATATAAATATGCATATTTAACAATAAGCACATTTTACATGAATATGTGCTCAAATTTATTATATATTATGCAATTGTGCTTATTTAAAAAGTTATTTTCTAAAAACAAAACTGTATTATTGATATAAAAACTGTGCATTATAGTGAGATCATCTTTCTATATATAAGTATCAACATCAAATATTCAAAAATTAATTCTTTATTTTTGACTTTCAGATGCCATGCTCTTATAGTAAAGATCTCAAGTGGCATATTGTCTATTTGTATTATGATAGTTATTCAAAAAACAAAATTGCCTCTATCTTATATATAAGCAAATCATTGATAAACAAAGTACTAAGAATTTATAAAAAATAGAGCATAGTTATTCATCTATGGTGACAAGTTTCTAAATTGTGAAAGACATTTGATAGGAATGATATGAACGTATATATACAACTTTTTTGATTTGTAAAAACATTCTAATAGTTATATATAAATTAGATCTTACAGAAAATTGTTAGAAAAAAGATTAACTATTATTTATATAAACTTGTTGATGAAATAGAACAGTGTACTGAAAAGCTTGTATCAGTTCCAACCTTATGGAGATCTCTAGCTTATTGTGGAATTACCTAAAAAAAAGTTGAGTTAGCATTAGTTTATTTTACTATAAAATAAGTATCTCTTAATCGAATTTGTAAGTGAACTTGTTTGCAAATTTGATCAAATTGTTTTTGCTTATATGGTTATAATATATAAATTCAAATATGTTGACATATTTATGTCATAATTAGATAATTTAGCATACTGAAAATATGTATTAAATTGGCAATACAGACAAAATTCTTAAAATTCAGTAAGGTTAGAATTAGGAACATGGTTAGGATTTTGAAAGAAATATTTTATATAATAAAATTATCTAACAAAAATTTTTTGTTAGAGCACAAAAGGTGGTTTCTTATGCTGATTTTTGAGCATGAGCAATTTTTAGCAGAATGAACATTTGTTATCTTAAAATCTGATTCATACTTTAAGTGATGTATACATTTTCAGTATGCAATAATTTATGTATAAGGGTTGACAAGAGATTAAAATATGTAATTATTAGATAGCTTTTACAAGCCAATTAGATAGCTTTTACAAGCCAATTAGATAGCTTTTATAAGCCAATTTTCTTGCAAAAGACCATCGTTGTTTAAAGAAAAATTTAATAATTTTTATATATTAATTTTATTTTAGCTACATATGGAGGCAAAGGAATGTAATGAACTTGTACATAGTGCTTTTATGGCATGAATGGGTATACACTATCAGTCAGACCAACTAATATTTATTGATGAATTTGCAAAAGATGACTGATGTATAATAAGAGGCTATGGCTATTCAGAAATCAATAGTCATGCAACAAAAAAAGTAGCATTTATACGTGGGATACAGTATATTATTTGCCTAGCTTTATTATTACAGGGAATAATTGCTATTAACATAACTGAAAGCAATTATATGAAGCCTATATTTAATGATTTATTATAAATAAAGTTGTATGTACCAATTAAAAAATTAATTTGTAATTAAAATTTCATTGATTTTATTTATTTTGTAGTTACTCCAAATAAATTCTTATCTACATCCCAATAGTGTCTTAGTCTTCGATAATATATGAATTCATCATGATGATGGATTACTTAAATATTTAGATGCTTTTGGAGTACAGGTAGAATTTCTTCCCTCATATTCACCTGATCTCAATCCAATTGAGATGGCATTTTCTATAATTAAAAATTTTTTACAACAATATTGTTATTTTGTAGAGAACTCATTTAATCTAATGTATCTTTTATTAGTAGCATGCACACAAATTACTCCAGAAATGGCTAAAAATTTTTATAATACTTTAGGATACAAATAGTTATTATCATACTTAACTAATATTAGGGTAGTAACCAACCCTTAGTAATAGCTTGTGCTTTTATTTCGTAGTTATAAAAATTTAATATTATTGCATCAGATAATAATGCAGGCATTAATGCAATAAATATTACTTTAATGAAACCTTTAGTAATTCTTTCATTTAAGCCTGTATCAATATCAATTTTACTATAAAACATTCAAAAGCAATAATTAAATCATAATCTTTTCAAAGCCTCTGTTACTAATCATTGTAGGTCTGTAAATATATTATGCTTAAGATCACTAGTATTTCATTGAAACTAGCTTTTTTTAAGCCATTTTTGTGATATGTTTTCTATAACTTTGAAAGCTAAAAAATATATACATATATGCATATTTTTTATTTACTATTTATATAATACTGTTATATACTGTTATTCAGTGAAGTCATATAGTCTGTGATTACAGCTACTTCAAATTAGGGTAACCTGGTCCACTCAAGCTACTTCGACTACATAGAACATGAAGGCCATGTTGGAAAAGTATAAGTTGAGGATGAAGTAGCATATGTAGTAGACATAGCATATGTAGTAGTTGTAGTATACGTAATAGACATACCATATATAATATAACAAAAGTAAATAAAAAATTATAATATAAATAAAGGTCATGAAGGCTCTAAGAAGAGAAAGACCTCTTTAAAATTTGCTTTATTGAAATAATAACTGGCCCCTTACATAATAATAAATACATAAACATCTCCTTTGCTACATTAACTAATCACTAATTCCCAAACTATAAAAACCTAATTCTTGCAATTCACTGTTCTATCTTATAGTATCATTCTCTTCTGTAGTATTGTTCTCTCCTGTAGTATTGTACTATTCTGTCTGGCTGTTGTATTCTAAAGTATTAGAATCAGCCGTGGTTATATCATTCTAATTATCCTGAAGGACTGTAGATAGTTGTGGTTATACGTTGTGTCCAATTACCTGAAGTAGTGAGGTAATTGAGAATAAAGTTAGTAACAGTTCAAAATAGAAAAACACAAGACAAGTGAAGAAGAAAACTTATCTATGAACCCAAACCACTGACCAAATCTAAATGCCTCTTTTCGACTAAGCCAATTGTAGATTACATGAGAATTTGGATTGTGGAGTGACTGACTTGCCATTTCGCCTAATAACAATACTGTAATATGCATTTAGTTTATAATCATTTCTTTATAATGATGCCATGACCAAAAATAATCTTATATTCCAGATATTATTTGGATTCAGTGCCACTAATTCAAAAGTAGTGAACTCATTAGTGTTTAAATTCTAAATATGAATGAAAGGCTGTTTAAAGTATAGAACTTTTAAATAGTTTAGTTAACTTTTGAATTCAATCTAAATGAATATAAAGAAAGCAATTAGTATACTTAGTAAAGAAAAACTAAAATCATATTTATACTGTATTAT